TTTCTCGATCCTGTGAGGATGGGGTGCGCGTGGTGTGTAAGGATGCTCTGGAAGGCAGCAGCAGTGGTAAGGGAGACACCTCACTGTGCAGTCCAGGCGGAGTGGCCGCGTGTTTGAGTGGCAGTGATGGAACATGCCGTGTAGTGCAGTCGGACCCAAACAAGCTGTTCATCGTGTTGTGCCGAGAGACTCAGTCATCAGGGACAGTCTTAGCGGACCAGCCTTGCTGTCAGCCCAGTGATGACTTTGTGTGAGTTAGGAAAAGATGCCTCTTCCTCAAGAGAAACTACTGCCATCTGCTGGGAAAGGATTGTAATAATTACACAAAGCTCTGAAGACTAGGAGGCAAACCCTGGGTTGCAGTGGTTGTGCAGTGCACAACGATAGGCACAGTCCTGTAGCGGACCTGACTCCATCCTCTGACCTAGGCCCTGGTGTGGATCTGGAAGTCTGTATATTTATATTATTAGTATTTTTTTTTTTACCACCCGTTAAAACTTTTTTTATTGTGGGAAATTTGAACTAGGAAAACGGGGGAATACAATGAGTCTTCATTTTACTATCTCCAGCTTCAATAAAGATTCACATTCTGTGCCATTCTTTTTCATCTATCGCTCTACAGTATTTTTGCTAGAATATTTTAGAGCAAATCTCAGGCTTCATATCCTTTTTCCCATCTATTGGAGTTTATATCTAACTATATAAGAAATTTTTTAAAATACCATTATTACACTCAGAAATATTTATATTTTCTTAAAGCTTCTAAAATCGCTGTGCAGAAGAAAAGGCAACAAAGGCAAGGGAAAGATTCATTACAAACTCAGGAGGAGGCGTTGCTGTGCTTGTGCTGGGATGTTTAGGTTTTATCCTAAGCGTTGTGGAGAGGCTTCGGCATTCTCTGCAGGACACTCTGCCTTTTATGGTGATCTTCCTGCCCCCCTCCCGGTGAGGAGGGTATCCCTGCACCTTCCTTCCACTTGGGGACACCGACTTCCTCCTCTGTGAGTAGAGTCCAGAGATTGGCACACACTCACCAGCCTGCCCAACCTACCCTCTTCCCAGCCATTTCCTGTCATTCGAGACAACAGAAGAGGATTAAAAGGGGACACCCTTTTGTAGTTCGACCCAGCAGACCCAAATTAAACCCAGGGTTCTTCTGGTCCTCATTAACCACAACACAGGACTCCACACTCCCTGATCTCATAAAAAGTGGGTGGCAGTCACACTCAAGTGAGAAGTTCAGATGAAGAAAGACACAGCCCAAGCACATACGTAGTTCAAGATGTGGGTGGAACTTGCTTGAGGGCCGCATCGCCAGGGTTCTCTTTATGATCTCAGGCAGTACTTCTTTTGGGGCATTTATTCCTTATTGCTAGGAGTTAGAACAGGCTGCAGGATTGTGACATTAGCTTTTCCTTCCAGAAGCTTCTAATGCTTCTTAATTACAATAATGAACATATTAATGGCATATTTGATGGCAACAATGATAGGTATGATGTCTCTTTTAAGCATTTCATACAAGAACTGTCAGAATGTAGGCTGCAGTAAAATCTGGACATGTTCATGCTTTTCCTGTACCATTTAAAGGAATATCACTGGCTGGGTGTGGTGGCTCATGCCTGTAATCCCAGCACTTTGGGATGCCGAGGAAGGCGGATCAGCTGAGGTCAGGAGTTCGAGACCAGCCTGCCCAACATGGCAAAACCCCATCTCTACTAAAAATACAAAAAATTAGCCAGGCGTGGTGGCAGGTGCCTGTAATCCCAGCTAATCGGGAAGCTGAGGCAGGAGAATCGCTTGAACCCGGGAGGCAGAGGTTGCAATGAGCCGAGATCACGCCACTGCACTCCAGCCTGGGCGGCAAGAGGGTAACTCCATCTCAAAAAAAAAAAGGTGCAAGTCACCCGGCCTCACCCTGGACCTGCTGAAGTAGTGATCTGTTTTAATAAGCCCTGCAAGTGGTCTTACTGCAAGCTAAGGTTTAAGAACCACTGTTCTACTCTGTGGTGATCTTGAATCTGACACCAGCGTTTAAAGCTACTATTTTGGCCTACCAGATGGATGCAAATAACATCGTTGGCCTGCTTGACTCCTCCTCAGATGATGGTGTCTCTAGCCAGAATCCGGCCTCCTTCACCCTGAGGCTGGGTTCCACCCTTTCCTGGTGTTTCTGGGCGGGCTCCGCGTGCTGGTGCCATTGGCTCTGCTTTTCTCTCTCAGGGTGCTGGATGACTGCCTACCTGTCCAGGCTCTTCTCTGCGTTGGTAGCTTTACCAGAGTGGACTGTGGTTGCAGATGACCTGAACAGATTGAAAACCAACCCCCAAAGACCAGACTCACATAACAAAAAAATCGTATTTATCTTATGTAATAGGTTTTGAGAGGATTATATGTTTGAAGGTCATTCAGTTCACATATCGACTAAATCCTTAGCAGCTCCACTCTGGCTCCTTTACCGGCTTTCCCTCTTGAAAGAACCTCTGCCCACCCCCACAAGGCAGGCCTTTCCCCTTTGGAGCCCACAGGGGTGGTTGTAGGAGGCGGTGTTTGCATTTTGCCCCAGCCTGGGGTTCTCTTTATGATCGTGAGGGTCCAGCCAAGTAACTCTCCCAGCCAGTTAGGACCATCCTTCTGCCCCCTGGCACCACCGCCTAGGCCCTGGGGTTAGGGCCCAAGGCCGTTCAGGAGAGTGGGTAGCAGCGATGAGATAGAGGAGGGAGAGGAAGGCTGAGGGAAGCGGAGAAGGGGAGCCAGTCTCTGGCTGAGGAAGAGGAGAAGCAGTGACAGGACAATCGTGGCCTGGATATCCAGGGCTGTGCTTTAGCTGTGCGACCCTGGCTCAGTTGCTTCAGAATGATGTGGTTGGGATACATACTACTAAAAATTGTTCTTTTCTAAAATTGTATTAAGGGAAAAGGAAACAATAAATATGGTGGGATGTAATCACATATAATGCAGAACTGCGTCAAGTGCTACTTAGGACCTGACAAACTCCCAGCAGCTACATCAGTAATGTTTCCTACATTCTAAGTTATGCACACGGGGCCCTGAGCAGCCCTGGAAGCTGTAAGTTCTGTTCTTTAAAACTTTCACAATTTCATTTTGAGGAGACCCCAAATATATAAGTATATTCTGGATTGTTTCTACAAACACCTTTTAACTGCAGTGATCATATGTGTAATCACATTGACTTCTAGTGCTGGAGACTTTTTTCCCATCAAAAGTTGGAGTAAAATTGTTCTGTTACTTAATATTCACTAGACTAGAATTTCTTCATTTTTTTCTAACATCAGTCCCTTGCTATACATTTATATTAAATCTCAAACCCAGACATTTAGAGGGAAAGAATCAACTAAAATTTAATTTGGAATGGAAATTAGCATGAGCAGCAACATTCTCAGGATGCTTTTCTTTCTTTCTTTTTTTTTTTTTTGAGGTGGACTCTCACCCAGTCGCCCAGTCTGGAGTGCAGTAGTGCCGTGATCTCAGCTCACTGCAGCAGCCTCCGCCACCCAAGTAGCTGGGATTACAAGCGTGTGTCACCACGTCCAGCTCATTTTTGTATTTTTTAGTAGAGACATGGTTTCACCATGTTGGCCAGGCTAGACTCGAGCTCCTGATCTCAAGTGATTGACCTACCTTGACGTCCTAAAGTGCTGGGATTGCAGGTGTGAGCGCCTAGCCTCAGGATGCTCTTTTGAACTTTAATTCCAAGAGTATTAGATGAAGTGATATAGGCTATATTTTGCTTATGAGTTTTTATATTACCGTATCTGAAAATGTAGAAATTTCACTGTTCACAAATAAAAAATAGACATTATTTATATGATTGATATTAGTGGATGACAAACTTAAATGAAATAGGTCTCTGAGGTATTTGTTAAGAGAAACAGATTTCTAAGTGTTGGTAAATTTTTAAAGCGTCATTTATTGTCTCCACTGAAGTGGGTTTAATATGTGCACTTAAGTAACATTTTCATGATATTAACTGTGTACAGTTTTAAATTTTAAAATTTGTAGGCTGGGCGCGGTGGCTCATGCCTGTAATCCCAGCACTTTGAGAGGCCGAGGCAGGTGGATTACTTGAGGTCGGGAGTTTGAGACCAGCCTGGCAACATGGTGAAACCCGGTCTCTACTAAAAAACAAAAATTAGCCAGCCGTGGTGGCAGGCACCTGTAATCCCAGCTACTTGGGAGGCTGAGGCAGGAGAATCACCTGAACCTGGGAGGTGGAAGTTGCAGTGAGCTGAAATCGTGCCACTGCACTCCAACCTGGGTGATGAGTGAGACTCTGTCTCAAAAAAAAAAAAAATTAAAATTTGTATATGTACATGAAGGATTATTTGATTTTTTCGCATGATATATTCAGTTCATTTCTAATATTACAAAACCTTATTTTTGGAACAAATAAACAGGAGTGATGGGAGGAATAGTATATGAGACCTTACTGACTGGTTCTTGGGGGTGATTGTTAACATGCGTGGCAATCCACTTTTATTTATTTATTTTTTTGCGATGACGTCTTGCTCTGTCACCAGACTGGAGTTCAATGGCGCTACCTTGGCTCACTGCAACGTCTGCCTCCCAGGTTCAAGCAATTATCCTGCCTCAGCTTCCCGAGTAACTGGGATTACAGGTGCCCATCACTATGCCTGGTTAAATTTTGTATTTTTAGTAGAGCAGGGGTTTCACCGTGTTGGCCAGTCTGGTCTTGAACTCCCAACCTTGAATGATCTGCCCGCCTCAGCCTTCCAAAGTGCTGGGGTTACAGGCATGAGCCACTGCACCCGGCTGCAATCCACTTTTAAATGGATTTATGGAAAAAGCACAGATTATAATTAAACTAAGTGGTATTTAGGTCACACATCTCATTCATCTGATCAGTGATCTGACAATGAACCTGACAGGGAAGAGTCACATCTCCTAGGGTTTCAGGAATCAGTGGGAGAGGCACGCTGTGAAAGGGCATGTGAAGGAAGGCTGTGTGTTTGTGTCTGCAGGTGTGCACTTGTACTACGTCGGAGGAGAGGTGTATGCCGAGTGTGTGAGTGACAGCAGCATCTTTGTGCAGAGTTGGAACTGCAACTATCAACACGGCTTCCACCCAGCCACCGTCTGCAAGATCCCCAGCGGCTGCAGCCTCAAGGTCTTCAACAACCAGCTCTTCGCTCAGCTCCTGGCCCAGTCAGTTCACCACGGCTTTGAAGTTGTGTATGAACTGACCAAGATGTGCACTATCCGGATGAGTTTTGTTAAGGTAAGGAGTGCTTGCTATCATATTATAAAATGTTCAGTGAAAAACAAAACAAAACAAAAAAAGCACCCTGACTGATGTGGTGGTTCTGCAGTCAATTCAGATAGACAAAACCAATTTTTTTTTTTGAGATGGTATTTCACTCTGTCACACAGGCTGGAGTGCAGTGGCATGATCTTGGCTCACTGCAACCTCCGCCTCCCGGGTTCAAGCGATTCTTCTACCTCAGCCTCCCAACTAGCTGGGACTACAGGCGTGCATTACCACGCTTGACTGATATCTGTATTTTTAGTAGAGACAGGGTTTCACCATATTGGCCAGACTGGTCTTGAACTTCTGGCCTTGTGATCCGCCTGCCTCGGCCTCCCAAAGTGCTGGGATTACAGGTGTGAGCCACCACGCCCAGCCCAAAAGCAATTTTTTTTGAATTCTGTTGTTTTTAGGAGGAGTTCCTCTTTGAGTATAAACTGTGTTGTTTAGCAATTATATGAAAATTCTGGCACATTACTTTTGAGGAAAAACAAGTAAGGTGGCTCTCTGTTTTTAATGCAGATGATAAAGTAACAACAGTAATTTTACAGGACTAGTGCAACAGAGATTTTTCCATCCTTCGAATTGCCAAGCACTATTATCACTCAGTGAATGTTGGCGAATTTATCTGAATTCAGTAAGATACTCTCCTTATTCTTAGAAAGCATACAGGCACATGGAGGGGATAATAATTATGAATAAGCTACAAAATAGGCAGGATTGGTTCTAATACAAGACAGTAAATTAAGTAGTGTTATGAAGGTATAAACAATCTGGAATAGAAACATGAGGCGGGTGTGATTAATTCTGAGAGTAGTATATGTTCTGTCGATGAGTATTTGTTGAATTTCTCGAATCTTGTTAAGGTTGCTATGAAGGCTGGAGAATCAAGGAAGTTTCTTAGTGGGAAGGAAAAACAACTGGGTTTGTATATGGAAGCAAAAGCTTTCAGTTTCACCACCTGCTATTTTATCTGTTGCAAAGTACTCGCAAATCAGTCTAATATTTCAAAATCTGGGCTTATCAGAGTATCCGGGTATGTGTGACAGTTTTCATACTGCCATGCCTCCATCCAAGGAATCAGCATGGCTTGTTCCAGGCATTTTTTTCAAAGTACATTTTATTAGCACTTTAAAATTACCATGACAAAGAATTTTTCTACACTCAAATTTTGTTTTTATTGTTTATAATTTTAGTAATTATTTAAAAACTAAGAACAATATCGTTTCCAATTTTAAAAAACAGCTGCTTGAAATTATTTCTCTTTCATGGTGACAAAGCAGTTTCATTCAAATTTAGTGTTTTAAAAGCATCTATTACAAAGTTATATTAACAAATAACTTGGAAATCTTTTCAAATGTTCTGTTGCTTTAGAAATGGCAGAGGGCATCATTTGAATCATACAGTTTTTTTTTTGTCCAGGTCTGTGTTTTTAAAATTAGGATGAAATGCCAATATCTCATAGGTAATTATTTCACTCTAATTAAATATAAGCTTATATACAAATCTGATTTTCCTGATAACTAGATACATTTCTCAGATAGGCAACATTTAAATTCATAAAGCTACACAATTGACACAGAAGACAAACCTGTTCCTAATACTGCAGGAACTTTTAAAATAAATACATAGTAAATATAACTATAGATCATTTTTTTAAACATTTGAGATGAGCAACTGTAGCTACCACTGGGCTAATGGATCAGATCTCTTTAAGGTTTCTTTCAGCTCTGATTTTTACCGATTCTAGGACTCATTCAGTCAGTCAACAAATATTTATTGAGCACCTACCATGTGCAGCCAGGCGTGTGGGACATAGCAATGTTCACTCACAGATCTCTGCCCTCAGGGAACCAATATTCTAGGAAGGAGAGAGAGATAATAAACAACAGCCATAACACAGAAGAAGGATGGAAAGAGAAAGTCTGGGGCAGGGTGAAGGGAATTGGAGCACGGGGGCAGTGGGAGTCATCTGCACATCAGGGTGGGCCTCACTGAAAAGGTGACAGGTCAGCAGAGACTGGAAGGAGACATGGAGCTAGGCCCAGGGACTTCTGGAGGAAGAGCAGAAACAAAGGGAAGAGCAAGGCAACAGCGTACACCTGGAAATTCTGAAGAGCAGGCAGGCCAGTGTGGCTGGGGCCTAATAAGCAGGGGGAGCGAGATGAGAGCAGCTGCAGGGAAGCACAGCGAGGCCTCCTGAGCCACTCCTTGGAGTTTATCGGTGGCTCTGAGGAGGTGGCGAGCTTTTGCAGGGATCGGAGCAGAGCATTTTCATGATCTGACTTCTGTTCTTAAAGGATCGCCCTGCCTGCCGTGTGGAGGATAGGTATTATACAGACAAGGTTGCAAGTAGGGAAACCAGTTAGGAGGCTATTGCAATATTCAGATGAGAGTCGCCCTCACCTGGAGGGATCCAGTACAGCTGTGAGAAGTGGAGGGATTCTGAATTGTGAAGGCGGATGAGGCGTGGGGGTGAGAAAAAGAGGAAGACGAAGTTAGTTGCCTTCAATCAAGATGAAGATGCAGGTGTATTGAGATGTCTGTCCACATTCAAGTGGAGTTGCTGAGTAGCCAGTTCGATGTAAGTCTGGATTCGGGGAAAGAGATTTGAGCCCGAAATACAAGTTTGGGAATTGTCAGCAAAGGGACAGTATTTAACTCCCTAAGTCTGGATGAGAACACCAAAGGTTTGAGTTTAAACAGAAGGGCCGGGAGTGGTGGCTCACGCCTGTAATCTCAGCACTTTGGGAGGCTAAGGTGGGTGGATTGCTTGAGGTCAGGAGTTCAAGACCAGCCTGGCCATCGTGGCAAAACCGCATCTCTACTAAAAATACAAAAATTATCCAGGTGTGGTGGTGCATGCCTGTAATCTCAGCTACCTGGGAGGCTGAGGCAGGAGAATCACTTGAACCTGGGAGGCAGAGGTTGCAGTGAGCCGAGATCGCACCATTGCACTCCAGCCTGTGTGACAGCCAGATTCCGTCTCAAAAGTAATAATAATAATAATAAATAGTAAATAAAAATAGAGAAGAAAGGGGGCTCCAGGACTGAGCCCTGGGACACTTCAACATTTAAAGATGGGACAGAAGGGACAGAATCAGCAAAGAAAACTGAGAGACCAGCCAGTGAAGTAGTAATAAGACCAAGAAGTGTGGTGCTTTGGAAGCCAAGAAAAAACAGTGCATTGATGAGAGGGTGTGATGAACTAAATCAAATGCTACCCACGTAACACAAAGGCTGAGAGCTAATAATTCATTTTTACAATATGAAGGCCTTTTTTGATCTTGACAAGAAAAGTTTTGTTGGCGGCTGGGGTGAAATGATCAGAATGGATTTGAGAGAATGGAAGGAGACAAACTGAGACAGCCAGTGTGGATGACTCTTCTGAGGGTTTTTGCCAGAAAGGGGATAAAGACATAGGGTAGTAGCTGGTGGGGGTGGAGAAGTATCTTTCAGATGGAAGATATTTCAGTGTGTTCATATGTTGACGGGAATGATATAGTAGATGCAAAAGATTGCAGGAGAGGAGGAGAAGATTTGCTGGAATGATGTCTCTGGGAAGGCAGGTCTGAGAGTGCATAAGTGGGTGGATCAGCTTATTTGGAAACATAGATAATTAATCTGTGGTAAGAGGTAGAAAGGCCAAGTATGTGGGTGCAGGTCCTGTGGAAACTCTTATTTCTGATGTCTTCCTTTTTCTCGTTAAAATACAAAATAAATCCATCAGTTGCAGGTATGGACAGGGGAAAAGGAGTTGGAGGTTTTAGTGGGGAGGAGCAGTCACCTAAGAGGGGGACATGAAAGAGGGGACTGGAGGGTAGGTTGTGACTGCTGGGGACATCACAGGTCCCCTTGAGGTTCTCAGTAGTGAAAGTAAAATGTGATCAGGCAGCATGGTTGTGTTGAAATCCAAGTTGTAAAAAACTCTACAGAGAATCACTCCCAGTCACAAAACTGATTGACTTGGCTGTGATATCCCTTCATTTTGAAATATCTTTTCATTGGTGTATAACATATAGAGAAAAATATGCAAATTATTTAAAAAAATTTTTTTACTGTCTCTCCTTTGAATGGTGATAAAAGGGAAATTGCCAGGTGAACCAGAGAGAGAGAGAGAGAGAGAGAGAACGAGAGAGAACAAGCAAGCTTTGATAATCAGCCCTGAAAAACCAAGAGCGCCTTCCAGTTCTGTCTTTACGACTTTCAGGTCCAGTCACTGGTCTGCAGTAACCAGCAAAACACTGTCCTGGGCATGAAGGGGTGAACAAAAGGTCAAGTTTCTTCCTTTGTGGAAGGGAAAATGATTTTTCAATGCTTCCCATGTGACTGGAGTGCCAGAACCTCTCTAGATCCGAGTATGCAGTTGCGAGGGAATTTACTGATTTGGATTCATCTGAAGGCATCTGGTTGGTGCGAGAGTTGACCCGTGTTTACAGGAAGGTAGAGGCCATGTTCTCTCTGTCTCAGGTCTCAGGAGCTACCCTGGAGTGTCGGCTCTGCCCCTGCTGAGCTGTGCCTGGGGCTCTGGAGGCTGAGTGTAAGTGTGGCACCATCACTCAGCTCCGTTCTTGTTTTTCAGGGTTGGGGCGCTGAGTATCATCGTCAGGATGTCACCAGCACCCCCTGCTGGATTGAGATTCATCTTCATGGGCCGCTGCAGTGGCTGGACAAAGTTCTGACTCAGATGGGCTCTCCACATAACCCCATTTCTTCAGTGTCTTAACAGTCATGTCTTAAGCTGCATTTCCATAGGATAGAGGCTATTGCAGGGAGTGGCTTGTATCATTTCAGATTTGCAACTAACTGAAGTTTCTAAAAACATGTGTAAATACACAGAATGTATACTGTTCCTATTTTTTTTAATCACCATTTGTTTTGTGCTTTCTAGTTAACCTGATGCCAGCACAGTGCAATTGGAAAAGCAGGCCTTTGGTGCCTGTGCTATAAGCAGCAGATTTTGTGGGAGGAAACAATTGAGAGGCAGTATTGTCAACAGTATTTGCAGGGTGTTAGCAGAATAAAAGGCAGCTTTAGTCAGCCATGTCATTATAAAGCATGTTGTGTGGCCTCACAGAAACACTGAAACTGTTTATACAGCAAAAGTCAGGTATTAGCAGCACTAGAGCAAATATCACTCAGATGAAACAAAGCAGTGAAACCCCTCCGGTTGAAATGATGTCACTTTTAGTGCTATTGGCAAGAAAAAAAAAACAAAAAAAGCTTGTACAATGAATTAATGAGATAATCCGTAGAAACTTTATTTCGAAGGTTGACATACCTGTAGCTGGGCTCCTGTGTTCATATTCAGTGGTACATTTTAAACAAACTGTGATCGGAAAAGAAAAAAAAAACTGTGAAGCCGAAAGTCATGTTCCCTCAGTCTACCGCTGTAAAAACAGAGTCTAATATGGGAAAATAAATACGAAGATAGCATGAAATGCTGTTTCCCAAATTACAAGATAAGACCAGAACTTGCTCCAAGAGCCACCCAGGGAGACTCCTGCTTTCCACAGAGGAGACCAGGCTCCTGTTGTCCTGGTCGTTCGTGTCATGCCGTCCTGCAAACTTCGAGTCTGCGCAGCGTGCCAGAATAGCACGTGTTTCAGTCTGGTGTCAGGAAGCAGGTGAAAGCAAAGGTTGGAGAAAAGTGTCACACGTCGACTTACACTTTCTCATTTCCCACGTTCCAGTCTCCTGGGAAGGACACTCTTTTGCCACGTTTTCTTGCCTCTTGGCAAATATTAACTCTTTGCAGATTACTAAATCAACAGTAAAGACTTTGAGAAGATCTAGACACATTATTGGATCAATGAGTTATTTAACCTAGTGTCTCCAGTGATTATCTGAAGTCTCATAGCTGGAAATAAATTCCCAAGTAAAGTGATAATAATTTCATAATCGTCTATAATTTCTGGGGAACAGTGGTAATGAATAATAATATATCTTTTAAAAATATACACAATATTTAAAACATGTTCTTATTTTACTTTAGATGAGGGAGGAAAATCCCCAAATTTCCAGGTACTTTCATATATATACTTGCCATGCACTAAACACTACATTGCTTGGAAAAATATTTCACACCCTCTTTAAAAATGTACAATTTAAGATAGCAGTTATGCTTGTAACAGACAGCACTTCAGTAATCCAAGAAATTTCTTCATTTATACATTTTGCCTCAACTCTTTCTAGCATTAGTGCACATGGTAGTTTTTCTAATTAAATTGTATTCAAGGTAGAAATGATCACGTGAGAAAGATGTATGATTGAGCTACTACTGTCACCTCTTATAATGACTAGTGTTATCTAATAGGAACTTTCATACATACACAATAGAAAAGAATTATTACACTTTACATTGAAAAACGTAATATGTGGCTCATGTAGTGTTTAGAAAAATCTGTAGTTGATTGGTTCATCAACTATGTATTGTGCACCTACCTATAGGTGTCAGGTACAATGTTAGGAACTGTAGAATCAAATGTAAATAGAAGACAGTCCCAGCCCTCATGGAGCCGAGAATCGAATAGTGAATCTATTTGTACAGACATCTTCATGTTTCAGAACTTTTAAAACAAAACAATGCAATCTGTCTTTTGCTTGAAAGAATGTAATTTCTTATCTCTGTTTTGAAATTATTATTTCCTTGCTCTTCTGCAGAGTCAGGTAATGGATTCCTTGTATAAATGCTACTTTTCTTCCATGTCTCAAAGTGGGTTTTGTTCCTCTCCTTGCTTCCCTATTTTCCAGTAATTCTCCATCTCCCCTTCTCTTGGAAAAGGCATTAATATGGTGAGTCTCATATGGGAACCATTCCATGGGAGAACTTCAACACAGCTTTTGCTCCAGAGATCAAACATAGCTTTCATGATCTCTCTACCAGCTATCGAACTTATCCTCTGATTATTCTTTTTTTGTTTTTTTGTTTTTTTGAGACAGAGTCTTGCTTTGTCACCAGGCCGGAGTGCAGTGGTGCGATCTCGGCTCACTGCAACCTCTGCCTCCTGGGTTTGAGCCATTCTCCTGGCTCAGCCTCCCAAGTAGCTGGGACTACAGGCATGGGCTACCACGCCCAGTTAATTTTTGTATTTTTAGTGGAGATGGGGTTTCACCATGTTAGCCAGAATGGTCTCTATCTCTTGACCTTGTGATCCACCCACCTCAGCCTCCCAAAGTGCTGGGATTACAGGCGTGAGCCACCGTGCCTGGCCTCCTCTGGTAATCTTACACCTTTACAGAATTAATCTAAACTGGTGGCTCATAAATGACATTAAAAACAAAAAACAATCTGGATGCAGTGGCTCATTCCTGTAGTCCCAGCACTTTGGGAGGCCAAGATGGGAAGATCACCTGAGCCCAGGAGTTTGAGGCTGTAGTGAACTATGATCACACGACTGCATTCTAGCCTGGGTGACAAAGTGACACCCTGCCTCTAAACAAAAATCAAGCAACAAAAAACTTGTATTTCCCTGCAGCTTTGGGAAGCCAGAACACAATATTGCAGTGAACCTGAATTTTCTGTGACAAATAAATTACTAAATTGGCACATATGATCATCACCAGTCATGTCTCATCAAAAGCCTTTATTAAGATGCTTGTAAAATTTGAAGAATTTAGAAGTGATGAGAAGTTAACCCCTTAGTCATTGTAACATAATCATATTTTAATCAGCTTTTTCTTTTGCTACCAAGAGTTTCAAAAAATGAATGCAGTATTTGATTTCAGGCTTCTAAATGTGCTCATTTAGCACTTATTCCTTGATGTAGACAATAAAAGAAAAAACCGAATAGCATTCTTTCCAGGATAACTATTAAAGCAGACAGCTAAGCCTCTAAACATGAGCACGGCGGTGCATGTTTAAGGTTGCCACGGACAAGGATCATACAACAGAGAACACTATAGTAACATTTTGGTCTGCTCACAACACCCAGAACATTTACCCGTTTTTGTTGTTGGTTTATTATTTTTCTGTTAAAAAATTGTGAAAAGTTTGTTTTAGCTGGATGATATTTTAATAGTTGCCACTGTTTTGGAACTATAAAGATGTCACTACGTAACACATATACCTTATGTTTTGTTTTGTTTTGTTTTACACTCAGTATAAATTAGGAAAATTTAGCCAACCACCTAGCATTTAGAATCCTCTTTTTTATTGTCTTTGGAGGATATGGATGTTCCCATAACAGCAACTAAGCAGCAACAAAAACATTTCATAAATATCACTTGATAGACTCTAAGCACCTGCTTAACTTTGAATGTGTCCCAAATATTTAGTGTGTGTATATATATATATTCAACAAATAAAGCAAAATATAACATGCATTTCACATTTTGTCTTTCCCTGTTAGGATTTTAATAGCAGAACTGTATGGTAAGTTTAGGTGATCCTAGCATATTAAATTCAAATTAATGTAAAACAGGTCAACAACAACAAAGAAACTTTCTATTTGAGTGAAGTCATGCTTTCTATTATAACTTGGCTTCGGTTATCCATCAAATGCACACTTACACTATTATCTGATTGTTTATAATAAAGAATACCGTACCTATATGTCTTTTGGCTCATTTTTCCTGTAAACCTCATAGAAGAGTCACTGTATGTGGGTCTGCAGCATCTTAAGTCAATTAATTTTAAACCATTCTATTTTGAAAATGGGATGTTAAATTCCACATGCTATAGAGAAATTAGGTAGTGGTTTTGATTAAACACCTTAGAATAACCATCGTGAAGTATAGATCCTGAAGATACTTCACAGTAACTTTAGAAAGGATATATGTAGAACCTTTTTCTGGATAGTAGCAAATACGTGATATTGCAGTGTATAGGGAAGAATGAGCACTTTTATTATTGTAAACATCTGTACATTGCTACAGATTGCCTAGTAGATGCTAAAAGGCAACTGGTGAGGGAAAACTAAGATGAAATCCAAAGAAATAGGAACACATCTAAAAATGTAAATTCTCAATTCCTTGCATCTAAATTTCCTTCTAATCTTAAAAAGGAAGGGGAAACTCTACACCTAGAAAACAGCTTTCTTATTTACTTGATCAGAGTTGTCAATTTTTTTTTTTAACGAATGGAGCCCTTTATTCAAAAAAAGTGTTTTGTGGGACTCCAAAATATAAACACATGAAAGATGTGCCAGTTTAGATCCAGGTGGGGACCATGAAGCCTCCAGTTTACACTGTAAGTTTCTGGAGAGCAGTGATTGTGTCTTGTTTGTCTGCGTCTCCCATGGTTCCTGACCCTGTGCTTGCACCTAATATTTGGCATTGGCATTTCAAACACGAATACACATTCTTTAAACGTGGTATAGACATAAAAATACTGTCTTTAAACATCAGCCTGTCTTAGAGAAGTATTTTCATCATAGACTGCTTATATTTACTTATCAGATAGTTCTTATGTATCAGCAGGCACTGTAGATGCAATGACAAAGTCCTTGCTTTTGAGGAGCTTACCGTTTTGTGGAGAAAGATGAACAAGTAAACCAATAATAAGCAGTGTGCTGTCAGCTGTGACAAGCTGCTGGGACCACCGAGTGACATCCACATCAGACCCTGGGTAAGTACCAGGGAAGGCTTCTGGGCCGATCGAAGTTGCCATCCTTCATGTCGGTTCTCTTAGTAAATCATCCTGGGCATTCTAAAGCAGGTTAGTGGCTCCTCTCTGTGTTCCCATAATACTTTGTGCCCATCGATGGTCTGTATCAGTTCCTGCACCACCCTGTTTACTTACCCTTCTCTCTGCCAGGCTGGGACATGTTTAAGGACAGGGATTCCATTTATTCATTTTCAGCATTTGCCAGCTACTGTTTGTTTAGAAAGGCTTTTGGGGATCACATTGTAAAGGCAGAAATGGTAGTTGTTTTTAACTCTTCCTTTAAAAATATCAGTAAGTATTTAGCTTCTCCCTTTCAAAATAAAATGCATTGCAAGCCTCCAATTGCATATCATGTGACCATGCACAGCAGATAGGGATCAGAAAAGCACGCTTGTGTTTCAGTTTGGAAATAGTTATCCAGCTGCCTAGCAGTAGCACGGAAAAGTAGCTTTAGCAATTAAACAGTTAAAATTGCTTTTATTCTAAGCATTTAATTTGTTTTCACAATGTGAATTTGAGTATGACAAGCATAAAGAATTTCGATGTTATAAGACCAAATTAACAAAAAGACACTAATTCTGAAAGTTTACCTCTGCATGATGACTGATGGTTCCATTATGTGCATGCATCTGATAAAAATGTCAGGTATGGCCTCAGAATGACTCTTAATCTAAATGCCAATGTTAAATGGAGTAAATATAAGGAAAATTATGTTCAGTTTGGTTTTTAAG